AACGAAACAAAGTAAATAAAAAGTTCGGAATATCACAACATTGGTTACGAAAGTATGTGTCGCTCCTTTCAACTAATCAACAGTTTCTCGCCAATGAAAATTTAATCCATTGAAAATCAAACAAAGTTTTGAAAGTCATTAAGCTAATTACTTCTCGTCAATAAATGCTTACGTATGAGGGCTCGAATGGATTTTTAATGAAATCACCACCATTTCCATGATTGTTTCGCTTCACGAAAGTACTTGCCAAGCGATTTTTTCGACTTTTTTTTTTTTCTTCTTTATTATGCTGTTGCACCGGAGAATCCAAGTGGAACTCGAGAGGAGGGATTTCGGCGAGGATATTATAATGATCAGAGGCCTTGGCGCTGGTAACACGCCGTTGTTGGGAATTTACGCATAATGAGTGCACACGCGTTGGCATGTTCTTCAAGTACACGATGGAAAGTGTCAGCTTCTCTCGCGTTTTACGATTATTGGCTCGACAAGGGGAGGGAAAAACTATGTCAACATGCAGTGCTGAGAAAAAGTGTTGATACTCAAGCCATATAAATAATTATGTCGGTCACATGGTATTTTACAACTGTTTATGCTGTATTTATTGTAATGTAAATTTTGGACAAATAAATTTTTTACAATAAAAAATTTTACATCGTAACGATATAAGTAATACAACTGTTAACGTTATGATTGTCGTTAAAAAAATATGTGTACATGTTTTTGCATTTCTATTTAACTTTACGTACATATATTTATTATTATTTTAGGTTTTTCTTTAAGCAGACACCAGACCAATAAAAGCATAAACCTTCTAGTTAGTAATAAATTGTTACCTATATACAAAACTCCGAATTCACAATTCGCTTTGAATACCACCATTAATGGTCCAGAAAGGCAGCGTGTACTTAATGAGCGCAGCAGAAACCCCGTGAGCGGTTGATTATTGTGCATGTACGGGGTTTGTGTTTTTCGGCCGATGACAAGCTCCATGTCGGCAATAAGTCCCGAGATAATTGCCCTCTGCCTCTTCTTCTTCTTCTTGTTCCCCGGCTACCGGTTTCTCGCGCGTACATAAAGTATCTTCCGGTAGCTGGTGTTTGGCATGCAGGCTGTATATACACCTGCAATAAATAGTGGTAATGTATTCGATAAGGTAGCTCACTTTTTTTTAATTTTATTTTTTATTTTTCAGCGACCGACATGTTAATTGATTATTTTTAACGCTTAGATGAGATATCCAGGGGGATGGGATTTCTTGGAACACGGTGGATTTTTATTTTTTTCTCTTCGGTTTTTTCGTCATTTTTATTAAAATAATTAATTCACGCATGATTATGTAACAGCTACTAAACGTTCGACGGCCACATAAAACATTTAATAATTTTTATCAGCAATAAAAATTGTCTACTTCTTTGGAAACAGTATGGAATAAATTATTCGTTAAAAAGAATTAATGCTTGAAATCAATTTTGCAATTAAAGTAATATAGATTTTAAATTTTATTCGCATAACGTAACAGTTTATGATAAAATTATAATCCGTTTAAAAATGGTAATTTTTCACGCGAACAAATGTGGGTATATAATTGTTTCCAAAGTAATAACACACGCGAAGTGTAATATGAGAAGCTAATGGAGCACATGCGAAAAGTCTGCAGGTGAGCCGAGTTTAATTACAAAAAGTACGTGGGAACGTTTCGTGCGATGTACGGAATACCGTTTCCGCATTTGCGGCGTCCTTTGCCAGATAATGAATAAATCCACACCGGGTTTCGTTCTCAAAGTTCATACCAATTTAAGTCCCTTTTTTTCACGTTTCTATACAGTATATTGGAATATTTTTTTTTTTTTTTTGGTAATTTTATTTAATTTATACTGCAATTACATCCCACTTGACCAGTATAAACATGGTAGTTGCATTGTACAGTATATAGTTAAAACTTTTTTAAAGATAGAAAAATTAACGATGACAGCATTGTCAGATAACTGATAAGCTGCTCAATCAATGAAGACAATTGAGTGATAACAGAGTCATCTGACCTTGCGTGTGAAAATTTATCACTCAAACGTTACAACGAAAAATAAAATGCCTTATTTTTCGACATCGCTTCGTCATTTTGTAGTGATCAAAGAATTTTTTTTTTTTTGTTTTACCGAGTAAAGTACAGCTTGTTGAGTCTATCAAGCGGCGTGGCAGAGCCACGTTGTCAAATAGGAAAACTGTGACGGCGTACATCCACGATACTCTCAAAATGTGAATGACAACTTGATGTTAATTATGTAAATTAGTTTAAACTTATACTTCCACATGCATAAGAGCTCAATCCGAAAAGATAGCGTTTTTGTGGCGTGTGAGCCCTTCGCACAAAAATAAAAAAATAAACGAAATTAACTTTAGATAATTTATTTCCACAAGATGTAAGAAAAACAGAGTTATTGGCCCTTTCTCTATTTGGTAATTATGCAGAAGTGGTGCTCCACCAAAAAATTTTTTTTATGGTAAAAAATGGTAAAAAATGGTAAAAAACGTCTTCCCCCACCTTACGATTATTAGATATAATCATAGAAAATGGCTCGAAACCATAAAAAAATTTCAAGACCCAAATTGGGGTGGAGCACCACTTTTGCTCATTTACCCTCTATTTCCTTACAAATCCCTGTAACATCAAGCATGAGAGGTATTACTATTCCTATAATTGTTAGCAATCGACTATTTGAGTCATTCATTTCACACAGTAAAAATGTTCAATATCTACCATACCTGCGGCTATTAACCATTCATGGCACGTATAATAAATCGTTTTACGAATGTTCACGAGTCTTTGTATCCGAAATTCCACAAAAATCTCCATTTTGCCAAAGTCGTACCTTTTTTAAAGGTTTTTTTGGGGGGTATTTATAGAAATACTCTCTGGTGTAAAATTAAGAATTTAGAAAAGATTAAAGCTGACATTAACAATTCAAGGCCATTTTTAATTAATTTACTTCCAAAACAATTCCATGAAATGTAAAATAACCCCTTTTGCAATTTTGTGTTTCAATTCTGTATGAAAAAGTATGTTGTATATTTTCCTGAAACCAACTAATAATGAAACTTTTTTTTTGTTTTATTAAAAAAAAATTAGTTCAGCTGACTAGAAATGTATGTTTTGGTCATTGAATCGTTGTTTCATTTCTATGAATAACATTAGTAAAACCTAGCTTGTGCAATTGAATTTACTAAACTTTGTTTAACATACCCATACGCACATATTGATGGAAACATAAATATATATCCATTCACGCCTCTACACACACTTGTCCCCCAATATCGATGTAACAAAGTAAAAAAAATTTCATTTCAACAACCGCATGAATCCCAAGTGAGCATATTATCGATTGCAATTAAACTCCGCGCATAATCGATATTACCAACCCATCATTGCGAGCCTCGATTGTGCCTTCGCCGAACGCGCGATTACAATCGTCCAGAGTCACTTCGACGAATAGAAAGGGAAGAGCGTCGAAATCAAATTAACCAAAGGTCGCGCGCGATAGATCCCCGCATCGGCACACTCGTCGACGCAATTTTTCCGGGCGCACGTCTACGCCCCCCTTTGCTTGCGCATTGTGTGGCCGCGTGTGCTCATCTCGCTCTGGAGAAAAAAAAAGGAGTCGTAAAGAAAAGAAGAAAAAAATTAAAAAGCCACTAGTGAAAGTGATATTATGCCCAAGAGGATGCGTCCGCAAATGCATTGCACTGGCAAAGTCGTATTGTCGCTTTCCGTCCCAACACGTAACGACGTTTGCCATGATTTACGATGGCACCTATATATAGGCGCATGACTTTCCTCCGTTGTCGCGGTATAGAGGCTTAAACTTGGATGTCTCCTGATGCTTCGTGGCGATTTCTGCGTCCGAATGTGTTTTCGTGAGTATTTTTTTGAACAAGTACAGAAAAAATGCTCATTACTGCGCGGAACCATCGGTGGGACTAATATTTGCGAGACGAACAATGTACGTTGTTTATCCATTATTCTCCTATCTTGCAAGATCGATTGTCACATGACTGAAGCCTTTTTATTGGTTCTTAGGCGAGACTCACGAAGAGTTAGGTAAATTTAAAAATGAGTTTTAAAAGCCAATATTTGAAATAATTAAAATTTTATAATGCAAGGCAACAAAATGATTGATATATTTTTGAATTTAGTTTTGTTAAATTTAGTTTTAATTTTGTTAAATCGAAGTAATGATTGAAATATAAAAAATTAGTCTGCGTTGTTACAATTATCTGGAGTTGGATACTTTTTGATTTGTTTGTACTCTTAAATTCAATTGTCATTTTAAGAGTTAGTATATCACTTTACAAGCTAAGTACTTGAAGTATTAGTTATGGGATCTAAAATTAAAAAATTGTTGATGCAATTATTAGTTTGAAGAAAGGATTCGAGTAATAGATAGTAAGAAAATTAATTTTTATTACTTTTGATTTGATAGAAAATGCAGGAAAGTTGTTTTGTTCGGTTGTATATTAAAATTGAATAAAGAAATAGAAAAATACGTGGTAATCTAAATCAAATCAAGTAACAAAATGATTAAAGCGTGTCTTACGTAACTGTAGTGTCCAAAAAACTTCCAACTCAAATACTTGAAATCTCGCGATTGTTTTTTAGTAAGCCATGACATTACAAACATAATTCGACTGTTGATTTTTTTGCTTATCTCACTCTAAAAAAATTGTCGTCATCAAAAATCCAGAGACGAAAATGTCTGAAAAAATAAAACGAAGCAAATAAACGTCACTTTTGGTTATTTAAATCTTAACACTTTAATTTGTAAAATGCAAACAAACAGAGTGTCTCGAACTATGTTTATTTGTTTTTCATTGGTCTGATGATTAAACTTTTAGTCAAACTGACTAAATTTTGTAACTTTTCTTTTTTTTTATCAAATAGAGTAAAAAACAATATTGGAGCTGAACGTCAAGAGTTTAACCTCACTTACCAGAAATTTATGTCCGAAATGGCCAAAATCCTCGCAAATGGTACTTTATTACTCGTAAATCTGATTTACTGGCCCATTCACCCGTACCGTTTCGCTTCAAACAATCGTACATCGCACGACGCAGGTTCTTCGAAACAATGCCAGCACGGCCGAAGCGTGCAAATCTTGGAAAATCGTAGAAAGTCCATCGGAAATCGTTATGCAATGCCAGCGATTTTTTCCATAAGCTTAGCGAACTAGATAAAACGGAATACTGCCAAAACAAAAGTAGCATCTTTTGGACTTTCTACAATGTTTATCCGAGAAGTAATGATTTAATTAAGAAATTTTAAGGGTAAAAATAACGATAATGTGTAAAAAAAATCCATACTTATATATTTTTAAGAGGTTTCGTGGAAATTGGGGATCAAATAGTCGAGATATTAATCAAACAAAACTTTAGATCAACTTTTTGATATTTTAGAATAAAATTCTTATTAAACAATAGCAGATTAAAATTTTTTTTATGGTAAAAAATGGTAAAAAATGGTAAAAAACGTCTTCCCCCACCTTACGATTATTAGATATAATCATAGAAAATGGCTCGAAACCATAAAAAAATTTCAAGACCCAAATTGGGGTGGAGCACCACTTTTGCTCATTTACCCTCTATTTCCTTACAAATCCCTGTAACATCAAGCATGAGAGGTATTACTATTCCTATAATTGTTAGCAATCGACTATTTGAGTCATTCATTTCACACAGTAAAAATGTTCAATATCTACCATACCTGCGGCTATTAACCATTCATGGCACGTATAATAAATCGTTTTACGAATGTTCACGAGTCTTTGTATCCGAAATTCCACAAAAATCTCCATTTTGCCAAAGTCGTACCTTTTTTAAAGGTTTTTTTGGGGGGTATTTATAGAAATACTCTCTGGTGTAAAATTAAGAATTTAGAAAAGATTAAAGCTGACATTAACAATTCAAGGCCATTTTTAATTAATTTACTTCCAAAACAATTCCATGAAATGTAAAATAACCCCTTTTGCANTCGTCGAACGCAAGATGAGGAGAAAAAAAACATCTTCCTCGCCATTAACCCGGGAAAATTTCAAATATATAAGTATGAGCTATTCCATCTTTGATGTCACAAAGATTGTCAAAATGCATCGATTAACATTTTTCTTCTTATCACTGCCTCTTCTGATCAGTAATGGTGAATTATCATTCGCTCACGAAATCGTAACAGCTGTATAAAATTTTTATTTTTTTTTATTTTTTTTTTTAATGTTGATAACAGCATGCAAGTAGTACTCTAGAAGAGATAATCGATTGTTTTTCTATTTTCAGCCTCTTGCTTGAAGACCGAGAACATTATTGGCGGCAAGCCAGCCTCTGCAAACCAGTTTCCGTACCAAGTATCCCTGCGAAGGGGTAACTCCAGTTTCTGCGGCGGTTCCTTGATCTCCCCCGACGTTGTGCTCACTGCAGCTCACTGTTTCCGCCGCAACTCCACCCTACCCGTCACCGTCCTCGCCGGAATCGTCGATTTGAACACCGGCAAAGGCGAGAGTAACACCGTCTCCCACGTCACCTTACACCCCGGGTTTAAGAAACAGCCTAATTCTTTGTACATCAACGACATTGCAGTACTTAAGGTAACACAATGCTCGTACTAGCTGTTCGCTCCGTGCACAACCGGCAAAACTTCGACACCCAAACCTACGTCGACTAATACACGTATTTTAAATGCGAGTTGGGTGTTGAAGTTCCAATTTTTGCCATTTGTGCCTAGAGCGAATGAGGTCCCTACGGTACGCAAACTCAGCAATAGATGGCGCACTGTACCTAAGAGAAAAATGGCGTCACATTGACACAAATGTAGTATCCGTGATCTCCTGACGTCAGCGTGACGAAAATAATGTCACAATAGTACGTGCACATTACTTTATATTGTCGTCACTTATAGTAACAGTATAGTATGTCAGTGACGCCATTTTTCTCTCAGCTACAGTGCGCCATCTATGCTGAATTTGCTGATCGTAGGGACCTCGTACGCAGAAAAAAATTTGTTACTTAAACAGACTAGGTGATTGGACTGTTTGAGTTCAACCACATCTTTGAGGTATAACAGTCCTGAGCTCGACTTTAGACAGGCAGAAGATTGCACTGTATGCGTTTAATACAGCATTGAACGGCCAACGGCGACGCGTCAATCGTTGGCGCCACCTAACTCTGACGGTGGCAGCATTGAACGTTCAGAAGCCATTTCGGCACATTGGAAGGGCTCGGCTTCTTTGTATGTATAGATATACTTTGAGCATTCGATCTGCTCGAGCCCTTCCAATGTGCCGAAATGGTCCCATGACTCGAGCTCGTGCGCTCCCCCTCTTTGGCTTCTGAACGTTCAATGCTGCCACTAAACTATAGAGAGCCTACCATCAGAGTTAGGTGGCGCCAACGATTGAAATAACGTATACAGTGCAATCTTCTGCCTGTATAAAGTCGAGCTCAGGACTGTTATACCTCAAAGATGTGGTTGAACTCAAACAGTCCAATCACCTAGGCTGTTTAAGGTGGCTCTAGCGCCTAGTGCCGTATCAAAATGGGGAGACTAAAAATTAATCATTATTTTCTTTAAAATATGGTATAAAATTATCGTAGAGATTGTTGTAAGCCATATTGTACATTTTATCTGTTACTTTAGTGAGTTAATATAAAAAAACAAAAAAGTTTTATGGTGCCCTAATTGATGAACTGTTACGGTACGCTCCTAAGTTCAAGAGTAGTTATACCTATATATATGTACTCTGCAGAATGCAGACAGCTGAGAGCTGACTTGCACTCGCAACTGTATACTTAGTCTCCGATTATTTAAAGATTTTGTTCGATAACAAGACACTTTTCTCATGTCATCGAAAACTGCGTAATAATATATACAAGATAGTATGTTTTTTAGACCTTACGGGTTATTTATATAAGTGCAGCAGTAGGTTGTATATCGCGTAAGCTTGCATTTCCTATCTAACCCGTCTCAAAACTACGATTTTGTAAGCATGATTTCTTACAATTTTCATCGTCAACCTTAATTTTTTTTTCACACGAATAGAAATATGGGAATTCAAAGAATATAATTTAATTTTATTAGCCTCGGTTGGGTTATTTATAATTTTAACATTGAGGCCACTGGAGCCACCTTAAGTACCAAATTTTTTTCTGTGTACTAATACTGTCTTCATGGCATTTTGTCAATATTTTGTGTTGCAGCTGTCGAAAAAGTTCAATGTCCAAAATAACCCAAAGGTCAGTACGATAGATTTGCCCGTAAATAATGACAAAACTTACGCTGGGGAGACGGCGCTTATTTCGGGTTACGGGTGGAATAAAATTTGGCCGAGGGTCAACAAAACGGGCAGCAAGAAGTGGGACGGTAGATCGGAAAAGCTGCTAAAGTACGCGCTCGTGGAGGTTCTCGAAAATCATCAGTGCAAACATAAATTCCCATCATACTTGTGTGGTCGCGTGATTCCACAGTCCCCGGAGGACAAGAATTTGGGGGTTTGCTTTGTGAGTTAACTCAACAGGTTTTTTTAATGGGTGGTTACTTGGGTGGGATAACACGATCTTGTGTGTTTCAGGGAGACAGTGGTGGTCCTCTTGCACACAATAACACGCTTATCGGAGTGGTCAGTCAGGGTCCAATGTCCTGCAACGACTGGAAACGTCCAACCATGTACACCAGGGTTTCCCTGTTTTTGGAGTTCATTGCAGTTGCCATGAAAACTCGAGCAAACGATTGACACTATATATGCTCTCTCCGCTGCAAAGCGTTTGTTGACTAATACTTATAGTCTGATGTCCAAACATCTAATTATGATTACGGCAATTTTGACGTACTCAATGGCATGCAAGTCAATTTTACTTTGTCAAGACAAAATTAGCAGATGTATAGGTATAAATATCCGATGCTAACTGACTGAAAAATTTACGTTCACCGAGTTTTACTATTCTTCTTTGTTTCAAATAATGATAATAAACTCATTGGGCATAAATTTATATTAATTATATAGAAATTTAAAATACATGCTTACAATATACCTAAAAACGTATGTATGTTTCATTTATACGGTTAATACGACGCAACTCAGACCATTACCTATTTATTTAATTGTTTTATCCATCACAATGTTTACTTTGTTATAATAGGTACTCGATGCTCATGCATAAAATCATTATGGACGCCACATAGTAATACATTCATTCGCATGCTTGTATAATATTATGTTCGTGCTAATGTACAGCTCTTTCTCTCTCCCGCTTGCCTTTTCCCTCTCTCTTTCTGTCCACTGATGTATACACGTAAAGTATATAGCCACAAACGGTGGAAATCGTGGTGTAAACGATCTTATGCGCTTTTCATTTGACGTCGTTTTTTGCAAACAGGCGCAAGACCCTTCATCGAGTATTTCATCATTGAACTAAAAAACTTGATGTTGTAATCAATTTTTTTTTTTAAGAGTCATTTGGTAATTTATATCATTCAGCTGCTAGCCTGGAAGCCAGGGTAAGTACTTCTCGTAGCCGATCTCGGTCAATGGCTGCATCAAAGTTTTATTTACGTATGTTTGTGCACTAAATCCAAATATAAAAAGATGCTTGGCCGTAAAGTTGGCCGATCAATTGTTGTAAGCAAATAAAATTTTTTGTTTATTTTTCCAGCAAGATGAAGATTGGGCGTAAAGGAAGGTTAGTATCGGGCGCCCACAGTCACCCAATTTCAGTTCCCGAACGAATCTGCACATTTCTTCATCCAACAAGGCTTAAAATTTTAGTAAAATGTAGTACTATAATAATGTGAATTGAGAAGTTCATAATTTTAATGGGACATTTTTTTAGCGACCCTTCAGTTTCGGGCCTATTGCTGTGCTTCTGCGGTAAACCTGTATTGGAGGCCGTACATGAAATTTCTTTCAATTTATAATGATAAAAATCCAACTGATCATGAGTTTCTCATTCAACATTATTATAATACGAAAATTTTAAGCTTCGTTGGATTCAAAAATGTGCAGTTATGCCTATGGTAGGTTCCCAAAATATTACTGTAGCTTACGTTGGGGCGAGGAGGGGTCAAAGAGAAGAAAAAATGTGTTTACATAATTAATGGGCAGCCTGCACTGAATCACATTTGAAATTTAGATTCAGCGTACGAAAATACGTAAGAAAAGTTTTGATGAATTTTTCTAATTTTTTCTATTTACTCCGTCGTTCAAGTTGATTCTTGTTTTTTTTTTTTTTTTTTTTTTTTTTTTTTTTTTTTTTTTTTTTTTTTTTTTTTTTNTTTTTTTTTTTTTTTTTTTTTTTTTTTTTTTTTTTTTTTTTTTTTTTTTTTTAGACATTTAATTCCTTATTTAAATCGATTCGAACAACTCATACTATGGTTTCTCCATATCGAATAGTATGTAGTGAACATGGATGACGCATTTAGAAACATACAGTTTCTTAGCTAAAAAGAAATCCTTAGAAAACAATGATAGAGAGTAAAAAACAATGAAAATTTTTCAATTTTTCATGGGTTAAAATTTGTGAGTATTCGAATCCATGGAAACAATTAATCGTCCAATATTTGTTTATCAATACGAGCTCAAGTTTTCCAGATACCTTTGGCAAACACGACTTTTGAACCTACATCAATTGTTTATTTATTTTACGTGTCAACTGATAGGAGTATAAGTACATGGGTTATCACCAGTGAAATTGTTTTTTCATTGTAAATTTTGATTTTTCCAAAAGATTTTCATCGGTAATTCATTTTCTACGACGGTGAATCTTAAAGATATGACCCAAGAAGGAATATTCAATAAATGTCTCTGGAACAAAATGGCTTTCTTCTACCCCCAAAGTAGGCTCGATCGAGTCTAAAACCCCAACAAACGAAACGGTAGCTTCGTGCATAGGAAAAAGGGAGCATTGAAAAATGGAGGGGGAAAAAAAAAACAGTAGTAAAAGGCAAAACAATATACTCACGCGCGGCCTTTGACACAATGGAGATCACAATCGCTCCATCCTCCAACGTCCAATGACTTATGGGCTCTGCTGATATATTTGTTCGTACATCTATAAATGCACACATGCATGCACACATATTTATGAAAACTCGAGATCTCGGGGGCTCTAGCACTGTCCCTGCATCACAGGAGGAAAGAACAATAGGTAGATCAGCCAGTCCTTGCATTGTTTATGACCCCAACTACAGATCCGCGCCTGCGGGGTTTGCGTATATATATATTATATACATATACAGCGTGAATCTACGGTTATGGACCGCTGCTAAAGGGTGAATTTTGCTGCCTAATATTTTCGGTATTTTATGTTTATCGATACGTTTTTTTCTCGTTCAAAGCTCGTGTCACAACTCAAGCGTAACGATGCTGATGCTTAGTTGATTCAATATTGCCGGTCGTGCACAGTAAAAACTCGTAATTTAAAACAAGCGTTGGAAAAAATCTGTCATTTAACATTGGCTAGTATAACTATTACAAAATTACAAAAAAATTTTAGTGCGTACAGGCACGAGATTATACACACCAGAAATGTTCAGCAGACAATCATCATCACATGCAAGACAGGATTGAGTTAATTTGGTCCAGTTAAGAGGATAGGTTTGAAAATATTAATAATATAAAAAAAAAAAACATCGTAAAAAAAGTAAAAAAAAAAAAAAAACACGAATAAGATCCCATTAATGATTTCACGTGGAGAGATTGCGAAAAAGTCCGAGTATAGCCCTCTAATGCTCGCATCCCCCCGAGATAATCTTCATCTGGAATCTCATACGTAGTATATCCTCTCTCTGCTCTGTAATCTCGTACTACCAAAATGACGCGCGGTTACATTCAATTGCCTCATCGTTCCGAAACCCCTTGTACCTATGCGGACACGTGCACAGGTCAAAAAGGGGGAGGGAGTGCACTCTCCTCGCAATTTCAACCGTATTTACACCCAAGCCGTTATAATTGAGGCGGGCTTGCCTCGACCCCCCTTACAAATGTACCGAGTGTTTTTTTTCTTTTTCTTCTCATTCTCCGGCTCGTCCTTTTCTCCACTTCTGTTTTTTCCTCTCCGCTTCTCGCGAGTCATTATACTCGTAAAAGAGAAAGAGAGAGAAAGAAACGTTTGTTGCCTTTTTTCATTGCACGCGGAGCTGGGCGTGTGATATTTGTAGTTTTGGGCGGGCGTGTGTTTGCGGATTATGATAGCTGTGATGACGATGCGTGTCGTGATACAAAAAACCGGCGCTTTGATGATGCCGAGGGAGGATAAAAAAAAAATCGACGGCAAACGGGAATAGTTTGGTGCGTTTGTGCGATGTACTTTGTAGACTTTTTTACTTCGTCAACGAGTAGTGCCATCTATTTTTTCTTCTTTTCTTATACACCTGTCGGAAACGATTGGTTAGAATTAATAAAATTACGCTATAAAATCAATGAATTTCAATACTTTGTAATTGTTCAAATTAAGTAAATTGGGAGAGCTTTATTTTTCCTCCCTTTGACATGAACAAACTCGCATTATTTATTATTAATTTTTATACTGTTTGACTGTTGTTTTCAAAATGGCATTTGAATTCATTGATTATCATTGTACATTCATTGCTTTTAATGAATCATTTCCAGCAGGGATGCATCCCCTATTGATTTTGATACACTTTGTTCTTTTACAATCAATGTGGTACTATATTTAAACAAAGAAAAAAAATCGGTGCAAAAAACGTTTTTGCGTGCTTTGTTTGAATTCCACATCGGGAAAGAAAAAATGACAATGACAGAAGTTCGAAATAAACAAGAAAGTCGTCCCGAGGACGATAAATCATCTCAGGACGAAGCAGCCACACGGAGAGACGCTACTTCCGGTGATAAATGACCTTTGCACGTTCATACACGTTCAAATCCCCAACCTAATCCGGTAAGCGCACGCACGTGGGATTTTCTCATTTTTCCCAAGCTCTTCCGCGTAGGGGAAAAAAAAAACCCTAGAACGAAATAGCCTCGACATTTGTCTCTTTTGGCTCTCTAATCGCTGCGCTGATACAATGTATGGTTTTTCACTTCTTATTAACGCGAGGCTGTTTGTTGTGGATAATCCATTATTCGTGCAACAAGTGGTTTTCGACTGGTAACGGTGTAACTACTTAATGTTGGCACTACTGTGGCTTTGCGCTGTGGCCATTGGCTTCCAAGCGTATTTAAGTGCGTTTAAATTATTCGAAAACTACTACTGCGGAAGCTTCGCTTATTTAAACGTACGGTAAACCGTGGGTTCCAAGCACGTACGATGTATACTTTTTATACAATTATCGTATTTTCTTTTCTCTCTTATTTCTGCGGATTATGCTTGACTATCATAAAATTATTGATTAACTTTTTAAAGGGATTAGACCAGAAAATCGGCTAAATCGTTAAATCTTATGATTTAGTAATTTCGGAGCGTCAGTACTGGTGGCAGTATTATAGTATTTCATTATCACATAAGCTGATAAAGTTGTATTGAGCTTTCCTTTTATCATAAAAGCATTATACAATTTAAAGTCCGATTCTACGTATTTGAAGGGAAATTTATCAAGTGTTTTATACAAAAAATATCTTATACCATCTATAAATGAAGAGATTACCATTTGATGTTCTTAATTGTTTTTGTCGGAATGCCTGTTACATTTTCGTTTAATTTAGCTTTTTTTGTCTCATTTTACAGCTCTTCCCATGAATATGCGCAAGAAAATCATTTAAATAACATAGTATGACGA